TGAGATGAAGCAGGCCTGCATTCAAAATATTTATTAAATATTGATAGAGCGAATGAATTGATTAAATGTGTCTGACTGAATTGAATAGATATGTCAAGTATTTTCTTGAAATTTATGAAATCTATTGGGCAATAGATTGAACCGATCCCTGTATCCATGCTATGTAAGTAACTCTAGTACAGAGTATACAAAAATACCCAGAATAAAAGAGCTTAAATGATATTTATGTCATTTAAATTAGGAAGTTGTGTTCAAATATCATGGATAATTTCTGTGGTCTCATATACATTAGTATACATGATAATAGAATATTTGGACTTGACTACGCTTCAACCATTTTCAAATAAATTAATTTCATTGACATAATATTAGATTTTTAGCAGTTTAATTCACACAATTTACTTAGTCTACATATATAAATTACTTAAACCACTATCGTAATTTCATTTTAAGTTGGGCTTTAATGTTATTTGCATATCTAATTGTGATTGGGCAATGTCCCCCAGAGCCGATTGTATCTTCTCAAGTAATAATTCCCCTTTCTGAACAACTTGTTCGAGCTGCTCCGCAGTTTCTTGATTTTCAATCTCCAGTCGCTTAAGACTCGAATTTTGTAATTCAAGTGAACTGTCTTCATTGGGCAATGATTCAATGAGCGTATCAATGTCCTTAGCACATCGAGCGATCAGCTGGGCGAAAAGTTGAGCATAGTCTTCTTGAGGCGGGTTCTGTACGGGTGTCTGCGAGCCAGTTCTGTCGAAATTTGCAAACTTACTGGGATATGAGGTTTGCTGAATTACACCGATGGCATTGCAGAAGTGCTCAGCTTGCTAAAACAACGGCAATACAGTTACTCATATCTATGTTATTCATATATTTATCGACCGCTTACTTGATTGACAGTGTCCTGCAGTTGAGTAAGTCTGTCTGCCATGGCTTACTAGGTTTTCGCCTTTTTTTTGTTCTCCTTTTCCAAGAATTCTAACTCATCAACGAAAACGCCGAATTTTCTGAAGTAATCTGTTGTGCATTAGTGATGGGAGTAAAGGTTGCCCACAGTCTATCGACTGTCGACGCTCCTTAAATACCGATTTCCGATTTAAAGCTATTGATTTCACTTTGAATATTATACCGATAATAAAATACTAGAAAATATATTGTAATTCAATTGCGCGGGCAATTATTTTCAAAAATTTATTTTCACCCATATACATAAGTATTCCCGTTACTTTATCCGTACATACATATGCTCAAAACCCATTCCAAATTAAATTTAGTGTTTGTATGAATTTTTTTTAAATATAAAATTTTAAAAATTTTCAATTAAAAATACAATAATAGTAAATAAGGAATTTGTGCTATACTTTCCATATGATGTCACTAATCTGTTTTTTCGCGCAGTTTGTATAAAATGCGTGCTTTGATCAATTTTGTTCTGGGGACTGACATAATGGTATAATCCTACGTTCGTATGTTCGTAAACAATAGTAGATAAAAAATATATACAAAAATTGATATAATATATTCTGTCATTTGTATATTCCTTTATTTAATACACTTTACAGCTCAAACTTGATACAGTTTTATTTAAAGGTTTTAAGGTCTATGTAAAAAATTAATAAAGAAAAAAAAAAAAGAACGAAATTGTTATTTCGAAGATAATATTTCATACGGAAATCATTGAGTTTTATTTGATAATTATAATTATCTTTTCATAATACCAATTTTGCATGTTTTCTAGCATTACTGGGCACAAATATCACGTGTATTATGTATTCAAATTATATAATATGAAGACGATTAAGCCGCACACTAGCTGTGTCATTTGAAAAACAACTTATTTACTGACGAACGTGTGAGAGATAATGTAAAAAGGTAGCTAAGCGTAATACTTCTGGGATTTGGTGTTCATGTTCAACACACGGTTCCTTAGGCGCCATGAACCATGACCACTCTCAACAGACCCCATGAACGCAACATAAAACATACAACATTCATACGAGTGTGTTGAGCAGACTCAGCGAAGCGACGCTCTTCAGAGGCACTAAACAAAAATTTCTCCAAACCAGTTGAGCAGCTCAAAGAGCCGAAAATGTGACTGAAGTCCGCACGCTTGGACTCGCGGTTAATCAGTCTTTGCTTAAAGCTGGTGGACGGAGCACGAAATTCGATTTTTGTTAAAAGTGATAACTTCGCGTCGCTAAAGAAGTGAAAGGCCTCCCCATTTGTGATCTATTTAAACTTGAAGAACCGCAGCCAAAAAAACACAAACTGATAACATCACATCGAGCCCTACATAAATTAAAAAGTCTGCTATGAGAGATAGTAGCAACAAAAATTGCTTCAA